CTAGCGGCTTCAAATCAAGCAGGAGAAAGCTGGTAGGCCCACATGTGAAGAATGGGTCTGTGTGGTCAGTGTGCACCATATAAAAAAAATCCTGGATCACGCAGTGCATAATGAGAAAAAAAAAACTCCGACCGTTTTTTTAATTAAAATGCCGACTTTGTGGTCTATTTTCGTATAGTTTTTTATGGGTTTTATTCTCGTTTTCTTGGTCTCATTTGAAAAGAATGGAAAACATATTACAGAAATAGAGGTGATTTTGATTGATTTTACTATAAAAAGAACCTAGAAATGGAGCTCAAAGTAGGGAAAATGTTTGATTTTGGCAATGTTCAAAAGTAAACAAATGATGCCATTGTCCCCAAAAAATGTCCAACTAGCCATTTAAATGCAGTCATGAATGGGTTTTATGTTATTATACAGTTATTACAGCATTGCAGTAGTCTGCATAATAGTAAGTCTAATATTTTTTTTTTGAATAAAAATTCAAAAGAAAGCAAGAGTAATATCAAAGGGCCTGGAGAAGTGCCCGAGAACAAAGAAAATGTTATTTTAGAGCCAGGAATGTCTGCATTGTTCTTTCTGGACCTTATTTTGAAATTGTCATATTTTTTTGTTTTCGTGAAATTGGCCAAATTGCAAATTTCTGACCACATTATTAGGTATTGAAATCAGTAAATGGGCAGTTTCTTGTACTCAATCGATAGAAAAAATGGAGTTCTAAAGAAATAGCTATGAGTTTGGGCAACTGGAACAATGGAATTAGCCGAAAATAGGGCTCAAAGTGGGCGAAATCGCCGATTTGTAAACAGCGCCGAGGTCGCTAACTTCGCGAGAGCATAATTCCGTCAGTTTTCCATCAAATTTCGTTTTTTTGGTGTCATTACAATCGGGAAAAGATTCTCTATCATTTCATAAGAAAAAAAAATTTTTTTTTTTTTTAAATTTTGCGACACCAGGAGACACCTCAGGATTGGGGGTTGCGACAGTCAAAGGGTTAAAATGCAGACTGTGGTCTATTTTCGTATAGTATTTATGGTTGTATTCACGTTTTCTTGGTCTCATTTGACAGAATGGAAAACATATAGAGGTGATTTTGATTGGTTTTACTATGAAAAGAACCTTGAAATGGAGCTCAAATTAGGGGAAATGTTTGATTTTTGCTGATGTTCAAAAGTAAACAAATGATGTCATTTTCCAATAAATGTCCAAGTAGCCATTCTAATATGCAGTCATGAATGGGTTGACATTATTTGTACAATTATTACAATATTGCAGTAATTGGCATAACAGTAAATCTTCTATTTTTTGTTTGAATAAAAATTCAAAATAGAAAGCAAGAGTAATATCAGAAGGGCCTGGAGACATGACTGATGAATAAAGAAAATGTTATTTTAGAGCCAGGAATGTCTGCATTGTTCATTCTGGACCTTATTTTAAAATTGTCATATTTTTTAATTTTCGTGAAATTGGCCAAATTGCAAATTTCTGACCACATTATTGGGTAGTTGAAATCAGTAAATGGACAGTTTCTTGTACTCAATTGATAGAAAAAATGGAGTTCTAATGAAATAGCTACAAGTTTTGTCAACTGGAACAATGGAATTAGCTGAAAATAGGCTCAAAGTGGGCGAAATCGCCAATTTGTAAATATCGCCAAGGTCGCTAACTTTGTGAGAGCGTAATTCCGTCAGTTTTCCATCAAATTTTTTGTTCTTTTGGTGTCATTACAATTGGGGAAAAAATTCTCTATCATTTCATATGAAAAAATAATTATTTTTTTGGGGGGGGGGGGAGTTTTGCGGCACCAGGAGACACCTCAGGATTGGGGGTTGCAACAGTCAAGGGGTTAACCCTTTGACTGTCGCGGCCGTATATATACGTCTTACGAGGTACCGTGTTTGACATATATACTCATAAATTCTAGCGGCTTAAAATCAAGCAGGAGAAAGCTGGTAGGCCCATACTGAGAGAAGGGGTCTGTGTTGGTCAGTGTGCACCATATAAAAAATATCCTGGAACACTAAATGCATGAGAAAAAAACTCCGACCGTTTTTTTTTATTTAAAATGCCGACTTTGTGGTCTATTTTCATATATTTATTTAGGGTTTGTATTCTCGTTTTTTATCTCATTCGATAGAATGGAAAACATATTATAGACATAGAGGGATATTGATTGATTTTCCTATAAAAAGAACCTAGAAATGGAGCTAAAAGTAGGGGAAAATGTTTGATTTTTGCCCAAAGTTCAAAGTAAACAAATGATGCCTTTGTCCAATAAATGTCCAAAAGCCATTTCTAATATGCAGACATGAATGGGTTATGTTATTTATACAATTGTTACAGTATGCAGTAGTCTGCATATAGGGGAAGTCTTCTATTTTTTGTTTGAAAAAAATTCAAAATAGAAAGCAAGAGTAATATTAGAGGGGCCTGGAGACATGACTGAAAGAACAAAGAAAAAGATTTTAGAGCCAGGAATTCTGCATTGTTCATTTTGGACCTTATTTTGAAATTGTCCCTATTTTTTAGTTTTCATGAAAAATTGGCCCAATTGCAAATTTCTGACCACATTATTAGGTAGTTGAAATCAGTAAATGGACAGTTTCTTGTACTCAATTGATAGAAAAAATGGAGTTCTAATGAAATAGCTACAAGTTTTGTCAACTGGAACAATGGAATTAGCCGAAAATAGGGCTCAAAGTGGGCGAAATCGCCGATTTGTAAACAGCGCCGAGGTCGCTAACTTTGCGAGAGCATAATTCCGTCAGTTTTCCATCAAATTTCGTTTTTTTGGTGTCATTACAATCGGGAAAAGATTCTCTATCATTTCATAAGAAGAAATTTTTTTTTTTTTTTAAATTTTGCGACACCAGGAGACACCTCAGGATTGGAGGTTGCGACAGTCAAAGGGTTAAAGGTGGACATTAGCTGAACTAAGAGGGGATACTGACGAGGGGCACTAGGGAAGGGGTGGGTCAGATCAAGAATTTTTTGTTACTTAGACCAATCATTCTACATAATTATCTTCATACAACATTGAGCATTTATGTAATCTATTGTCAAATAATTTGAAGGTATGTATAATCTTCAGTCTGCCAGAAAAGCATTGCATAACAGCCTTTTCCATCTATGATAAGCTATATTTAGTAATTTATACAGCTGTATCATTGAAAAAACTTGTGTAGTGTGAGAAGGTAGCGCCAAGTGAAACTGACAGAGCGTGTGGCATGGGGGGTCATGCACTTTGCCTACCCAACACATCCAGTATGTAGGAGCAGCCAGGCAAGTATCACAGCCAGCCAACCAATATAATTACAGTAATCTACAGTTCTTGACCAATGTACCAAAAAACACTTTTCACACATGTACAAATTATTTCAACATACTTTTTTTTTTCCAAATGTATTAATAATGTTGTGTATGTTTATGCTGGAATTACTGTTATATAGATTAATTGGAGGGAGCAGGTAGTAGGTAATAGTCAGTCATATAAGAGGCCCTGTATAGTGTTAACTTTTATTTGGAGGAGATTGGTCAAAAACTACAGATTCAATATTTAAGATTTGCTGAATGCCAAATTACATGAACGTAGTTGTTTTTTCTTTACTATATGCACTGGAATTCAATTTTTTTTTTATGAATGTGTGGAGACATCTTTGTCAGATTGGGTAAGAACTATGGCTTAAATAGTTATTTGGCTGAGACTCCCATACGGGTATTTCATTCAAGGATTATTTTACGGTCAGCTCTACCCGTCTTCATGGCTGTTGGCAACAGACATGCACCATAACAAATTGCACTCTATTAAACCACTTTTAGGTTTGTGGCCATCTTCTTACCACCATTGCCATACTCGGGAGACTGTGCTTTCCCGTCTCCGCATCGGCCATACCTGCCTTACCCATGAGTATCTCGTGGAACGACACCCTCTTCCTCTGTGAGGTTTGTTGGGTCCCTATTTCAGTTCACCTTGTGGATTGCCCGATTTACCAACAAGCTCGTAGGATTTACCTACAATGCCACCGCCGCCCTACTGCTCTTACCTTATCTTCCCTCCTTGCACACAGCCCTGCCTTTGACTTGCAATCACCTTTTTGACTGTCAGCAACTGCTTTACTGTATGAACTTTGACATCTAGCCCTTAACATACCTACCAGCCCTTTTCCTCCCTCACCTCTGATTCCCTCTCCACCTAGCTGTTTATAGCCCCAGCTCTATTTTTTGCCCCATAGCGCTGCATGACCTTGTCGGTTTAGGACTTTGATTATAATAATGTTTATTCTGGTTCTTATTTTGAAATTTGTGTAAAATTGGCCAAATTACCAATTTCTGATCACCTTAATTGGGGAGTTGAAATAATTGATTGGGCTATTCTTTTACTCAATCGATAAAATGGAAGGCCCTACTGTGAAATGGCTAAGAATTTGGCAGACGGAATAATTTTTATTGGCCTGAAATAGGACTCGGTGGCAAAATCGCCAATGCAGAAATATCGTTGACACAGCAAAATTCATGTAAGTATAATTTTGCCAATTTTCCATCTAATATCGCACTGTTTTATTACCTTCAGAAAGAAATTTTGTACCAATTTCATAAGAATTTTTTTTTTTTTTAAGATTTCTTGGACAGTGCGGAGAAGTTCAGATCAATGTCTGGAAAGTGAAAGGTTTAAATAACTTTTTTAAATAACTTATATAAATTATCCCTCTCTCTCTCCATCTGCTGCCTGCCCCCTAAACATGTCCTCTATTTACTACATTGTAGCTCAGTTCTGTTTAATTAACATGTGTATACATTAATAAAACATTGTTCAATACTATTTATTAAAATATTGAACAAATACTCTTAGTTAATCAGAGGTATTCATAAGTCATAATAGTTTGCATCTCCTATTATTATTTATAAAATATATTTAAAGTTCTGAACAAATGATTTACGATTTTTTTTTTTTAGAAAAACATTCACAAATGAGATACCTACTGTATACATACAGTATATACTTAATTATAATTAAACCACTTCATGTGGCTACCCTGATCTAAATGGCACTTTACAAGGTTAGGTAAATATTATCTTTGCTCTATCACACTTAAAATGAATGATTTTCCTGTCATACTCTGTGGTCTAGAAATTAATATGCATAAAGATATTGTTTCCATATTTGAAAATGCAATAATATAAACACTACACACCTGGTGCCTCTCGCTTGGTTCTTGCTCCTTGGTCACTCTTCTCAAATATGGCACAGTTTTTTCTACTCTCTTCTGTAGTTCCTCAATAGTCATATTTTGAAGTCTGTTGTAACTGCTGATTTTTGATGCAAGTGATGGAGAGGTGCACCGTTCCTCATTGGTTACTAAAACAGAATTCTCGTCTAAAAATAAAATAAGGAAAATGAGTAGTTAAAAGTTTACTAAAAATACAATTATACAGTTATTTTTTTTTTTTTTTTTATTATCACACCGGCCGATTCCCACCAAGGCAGGGTGGCCCGAAAAAGAAAAACTTTCACCATCATTCACTCCATCACTGTCTTGCCAGAAGGGTGCTTTACACTACAGTTTTTAAACTGCAACATTAACACCCCTCCTTCAGAGTGCAGGCACTGTACTTCCCATCTCCAGGACTCAAGTCCGGCCTGCCGGTTTCCCTGAATCCCTTCATAAATGTTACTTTGCTCACACTCCAACAGCACGTTATATATGGAAGAAATACAAAATAAACCTCCTCAGCATAGTAGAGATTTGCAGAGTTGCAGGACCATTTACGGGTTTAACTTTAGCGCTAGATTACAGTAGAGCCCCACTTATATAGCAGGTTAGGTTCCAGGCTATCTCTGAAAAGCAGCATGCTATTTTTTCCACTGATAAATGCATATAAATGCTAGATAAGTTTAGACTAACATATATTAAGTTAGCAATACAAAAGGCATTTAAAAAAGTAAAATACACACAGTACACTCGTTACCTAAAATATTTGTGGTCTTAGTGTAGGGTGAGAGATAAGCAGTGTTCATTGTAAGAAGTCAGGTGTGGTAGGTACCACCCCACCCACACATAATATACTACGACATTTAAAGTGCCCCAAAGCAATAAAATGCACATGCAGTACAGCCTTTCCTCACTTAACGACAGAGTTCCATTCCTAAGACCACGTCGGTAAATGAATTCATCGCTAATTGAGGAGCATACTAATGGTTATGGGTATGTCAACCATCTTTGATATTTTAACGTCACCTCTGCACCATATATAACATTTCTGGCATATTTTTGAATGTTTGTGCAGTATTTTTTTTATTAGAACACTGGCCGATTCCCACCAAGGCAGGGTGGCCCAAAAAAGAAAAACTTTCACCATCATTCACTCCATCACTGTCTTGCCAGAAGGGTGCTTTACACTACAGTTTTTAAACTGCAACATTAACACCCCTCCTTCAGAGTGCAGGCACTGTACTTCCCATCTCCAGGACTCAAGTCTGGCCTGCCAGTTTCCCTGAATCCCTTCATAAATGTAACTTTGCTCACACTCAAATAGCACGTCAAGTATTAAAAACCATTTGTCTCCATTCACTCCTATCAAACATGCTCACGCATGCCTGCTGGAAGTCCAAGCCCCTCGCACACAAAACCTCCTTTACCCCCTCCCTCCAACCTTTCCTAGGCCGACCCCTACCCCGCCTTCCTTCCACTACAGACTGATACACTCTTAAAGACTTAATAAACTGTGTGAGTAGAATAGTAATATTCACTGTCCCCGTTATTTACTTGTTTATTTTTATTTCAAGTAGTGAGAGGGTGAGTAGTGTGGTGAGTAGCATAATGAGAGGTGAAGGTATAGTCACCAGTGACCTCACATTACCTACCTCCGCTAATCATCTCTTACCACCTCGCCTGCATATCCCACTGCTGCCACCATGTCATGTACGGGGGGGGGTAATGGAACGTAATGCATTTTGGGGGAATACGAAAGTAAACGGAGGGAGTCAGTAGGCAGGGGATATGCAGGCGAGGTGGTAGGAGATGATTAGCAGAGGTAGGTAATGTGAGGTCACTGGTGACTACACCTTCACCTCTCATTACTCTACTCACCACACTACTCACCCTCTCACTACTTGAAATAAAAATAAACGAGTAAATAACGGGGACAGTGAATATTACTATTCTACTCACACAATTTATTAAGTCTTTGTACAATAATATATTTGGAAACAGGAGTACATCATTGTGGTTTCAGATCAATGGGGCAGTACATATAAGCAGTGAGACAGGGAACACAATCAACTTGACCAAAATGAATATAACTTACAATATAGTTCAGAGGACAGTTTACCACAGGAACTAAGCCACAGGTCCCAAGACCTATACGGCACGAGTACTGCTCCAAGCCAGTACTCTGCCCAATGTCTCCAACAGAGAGCCCCGTCAGATCAGAGCTCTGCCCCACGCCGCAGCTCTGCTTGACTCTCCCTGCTCAGAGTTCTGCACACAGCAGCCGCTCCACTCGAAGTCTCCCTATCATGCTCTTCCTTGGGCTTATATGGTGGTCCAAGCACCCTCCACAATGAGGTGTGCACCACGTGTACGACCTGACGCCGAGATCTGACGCCAGTGACGAACAAAGGAGCTGAGACTTAAGCCGAAAAGGCGTGGCTGCTTAATCACTTGCCAAGGCAAGGTGACCATATAATTAGGTCTCCCTAGAGACCTCACAAGCCCAGCTGAACTACATCACAACCTTTCATATCTCAAATTGCCATAACTTTGCTTCTGTTGGCTGTAGCCTTATAAAAGTAAAGCGAGCTTTAGATTTATTAGACTAACAGAAGGGAGGGAAGGTGTTAGGGTCAATTGTTCATTAACCCTTTCAGGGTCCAGAGGCCAAATTTCAAAGTGTGCACTAGGGTCCAAGAATTTAAAAACAAAAAATTATTTTTTCTCATGAAATGGTAGAGAATCTTTTTCTGAAGGTATAAAACAAAAAAGTAAGAAATTTGATGGAAAATTGACGAAATTATACTCTCGCTAATTTTGATGTGTCAGCGATATTTACACATCGGTGCCTCTTCAAGGGGGGCTCCTTGGCGTGGTGAAGAGGCTCTTGGTCTGAGGAATTAGACCTGTCGGTCTCCTTCCTCAGACCGAACCTAATTACCCCCCAATGCCCCGTTCCTTATCCCATCCTCCCCTTTTTCCTTTCCTCCTCCCCACCCCTCCCTTTTGCCCTTCCTTTTTGGCCTTTTTTTTTTTTTCCCCACAGGCACACTAGTTCCTAGGTAGGGGAAAGGGTACCAGGGTCCATCCCATTCCGTTGAGGTTCTTGGGGGTGGCGTAGTTTCCCGTGGAATCTGGATTGCCTAGGGATGTCCCGATCCCTCTCCGGTATCCCGGAGAGTGGCTTTGGGTGTCTCGGGCGACTGGTGCATCTTTGGAAGCCACCTTTCGGATTCTGGGGGTGGTGGCCGAAGGAGGTATGCTTTGTGGCGGATTTCCGGCCGCCCTCTCTTTTGTCCACCGAGGTAGCACGGCAGATGTGAGGTTGCTATCCCGGATTGCCGGTTTACCGGCATGATGGGTAGGGTATGGCACGGGTTCCATGCTGCATCTGCGCTACTTGCGGTGCTGAGGTCCTCTTGGGCGCGGAGGGAGATTTCTGGCCCTTTCATTCCTCCTAGGAACTATCCCTCCCCGGTCCCCCCCTTTTTTTATTCTTTTTTTTTTTATTTTTCTTTTCTTTTTCTTTTTTTTTCTTAAACAAAAAGAAAGAAAAGTAACCTAACCATGGCAGCCCTAGTCCACGAACCTGCTACCCCCGGGCCCCTTCTTGATACCGCACCCCGTTCTGACCCCTGAATGGAGACAAATGGTATTTGGAACCTGACGAGCTATTGGAGTTTGAGCAGGGTAATATTTAGTGAAGGAATATAGGGAAACCGGTTATTTTTATATAGCTGGACTTCTTCTTTCTTTCAACACACCGGCCGTATCCCCGAAAGGAAAAACAAAAGTTACTCCTTTTACATTTAGTAATATATACAGCAGAAGAGGTTACCAGCCCCTTGCTCCCGGCATTTTAGTCGCCTCTTACAACACGCATGGCTTACGGAGGAAGAATTCTGTTCCACTTCCCCATGGAGGTAAGAGGAAATAAACAGGAACAAGAACTAGAAAGAAAATAGAAGAAAGCCCAAAGGGGTGTGTATATATATGCTTGTACATGTATGTGTAGTGTGACCTAAGTGTAAGTAGAAGTAGCAAGGCATACCTGAAATCTTACATGTTTGAGACAGAAAAATGGACACCAGCAATCCTACCATCATGTAAAACAATTACAGGCTTTCGTTTTACACTCATTTGGAAGGACGGTAGTACCTCCCTGGGTGGTTGCTGTCTACCAACCTACTACCTAGTGCTGTCTACCAACCTACTGCCTAGCTGGACTTGAGTCCTCTAAATGGGAAGTACAATGTCTGCACTCTAAAGGAGGGGTTCGAGATATTGGCAGTTTGGAGGGATATGTTGTGTATCTTTATATGTATACGCTTCTAAACTGTTGTATTCTGAGCACCTCTGCAAAAAGTGATTATGTGTGAGGTGAAAGTGTTAAATGATGATGAAAGTATTTTTGGGGGGATTTTTTTTTTTTTTTTTTGGGGGGGGGGGGTCACCCTCACCCTGCCTCGGTGGGAGACAGCCGACTTGTTTAAACAAACAAACAAACAAAAAAAAATCGCCACATTTGTGAACATGTGTTAGACCCACCAGCTGGCGTGTATTAGATGTGTAAGGTCATTTGTTTACTCTTGAACATCGGCAAAAATTTAACATTTCCACTACTTTAAGCTGTTTCAAGCCATTTCCAGTACTAAAACCAATCAAAATGATCTCTCTTTCTGTAATATATCTTCCATTCTATCAAATGAGGCAAAGAAATCGCAAGTAAAACTATAAAAAACATACGAAAAAACATTGCAAAGTCGTTGTTTTAATAAATTACGGTCATTTTTTTTTCTCGTGCACTGTGTGCTGCAGGATTTGTTTTATGTGGTGTACACATACCACACAGATGTATTCTCTCATATCTAGGCCCAAAGTTACTGTTCACAGCTTATCAGCGAGAGCTGAGCTCATGGCGTAGATCAACTGTTTGGACCCTCGACTCAAAGCCATAGAATTACAGCACGGACCCTGAAAGGGTTAAATCCAAATTATTAGATTTTTCTTCCATGACTGATACAACAATGGACAATTTTGAACTTGCAAGACTGTTCATTAAATCTGAAAATTAATTTACTAGGTGTACTGCAACAACAAACAACAATTCTAATTTAACTATCTCCATTGTTTTCGAATGTCGTCTGGCCACAGATTTTGTCTGTTAAATCTAAAATCCATTAAATCGAATAGACTTTACTGTAAGTACATACATACTGTATATGTATTTGGAATTAGCATGAGATTCTAAAAACAGACCATCCTTACTGAAGTGTGTTGAAGGATAAAAATTTAATTTTTGAATGTCATCTGACTTCTTGCATAATAGCAGAAAAAAAAAATCACACCACAAGTAACTTACATAATGGCCTATGTACAAACCTCTTACAGCTAACAGAGCAATGATAGGCCAAGCTTCTAAGTAATGATGTTTTTCTGGAATTCAATATCCAAAAGGTCAAATGATGACTATAAACTTTAAGGCAGAGGTCAAACAGTACTACAGGCAGGCTGTGCTTTTACAGCAAGTTAGGTTAGACTACTGCTGTAAAGAAAAAATAACTGGAAAGTGAAAGTATTTTTTTTTCACTTTTGAATGCGTATATAATTCCGATAACACATAAATAACAAAAAAAAGGCACGATACCGTGACTGGAACGATACACAAATAACCTGCACATAAAAGAGAGAAGCTTACGACGTTTCGGTCCGACTTTGTCAATGGTCCAAGTCGGACCGAAACGTCGTCGTAAGCTTCTGTTTTATGTGCGGGTTATTTGTTCCAATAACACATTTACACTATTATATATTAAGTGAGCAATAGACCTAGGCCTAAAAATGCATATACAGTACACACATTACTTACCTTAAATTATTTACATCCTTAGCTTATATTGAGTGGCGAATGTATTTATTGTAGGAAGTCTGAATAAATGAAGATTGAGTATAACTGAAAACTGCTGCATTAGCGAAATGCCATAAGGCGAAGTGTTGTAAAGTGGGACCCTCCTATGTATACATTTTTTTCAATCTGATAATTGATGAAGGAAAGAGGTGAGTGGGTCACTGAGACATTTATGGAGACCACATTATCCATGGCAATCAGGAAAATATATGAAGAGTATAATGGTACCAACACTCGTATGGATGTGAAACATGGGTTGTGAATGTTGCAGCAAGAAGGCTGGAGGCAGCTGAGATGTCATGTATGAGGGCAATGTGTGGTGTAAATAATCAGAATTTGTAGTTTGGAGATTAAGAACAGGTGGCGAGTTACTAAAAGTATTATGCAGAGGGATGAGGAGGGGTTGTTAAGGTTGTTTTTGATTTAGGGAAGCTGGAGCAAAATAGGATGACTTGGAGAGTGTATGTGGTGGAGGGAAGGCTAGGTAGGGGTCACCCTAGGAGAGGTTGGAGGGAGGGGGTAAAGGTTTTAAATGCAGGCCTGTTAGGAGTGGAGGCAAGTGGTTTTTATGACTTGAAATGCTGTTGGAGTGAGAGCAAGGAAACATTTACGAAAGGATTAAGGGAAACCAGTTACAGACTTCAGCCCTGAATGTGGGAAGTAGTGCCTGCACTCTGGAGGAAAGGTGGAGAAATTTGCAGTTTGGAGGGGCATCTGAACTAAAGTATTGGTGCACCTCTGGCAAGACAATGATGGAAAGAGTAATGGTGAAAGTGTTTGTTCTTTCTTTGGGACACCCTACCCCAGTGGGAAATGGCCAGTGTGTTAAAAGAATCAACCTAAATCACTAATATTTTTATAATATTCTAATACTTTGTGATGTCAACAATTAACCTCAAAATGATCTCTTTCATACTCCCTGAGTCTTGGTCTACAGTTAGATTTTGCTTATATTTGTAAATTTTATTTTATGGCCAAAAATTACCCCAAAACCATGTTTAACCCTTTCAGGGTCCGTGCCATAGATCTACAGCTTTACATTCAGGGTCCAAACTGTAGAGCTATGCCATGAGCTCAGCTCACTCTGATAAGCTGTGAGCAGTAAATTTGGGCCTAGATATGAGAGAATATATCTGTGGTATGTGTGCACCACATAAAACAAATCCTGCAGCACACAGTGCATGAGAGAAAAAACTGAGACTGTAATTTTCGATTAAAACAGTGATTTTGCAGTGTTTTTTTGTATGTTTTCTATAGTTGTATTTACAATTTCTTGGTCTCATTTGATATAATGGAAGATATACTACAGAAATAGAGATGATTTTGATTGGTTTAAGTACTGGAAATGGCTTGAAACTGAGGTCAAAGTAACAGAAATGTTAAATTTTTGCCGATGTTCAAGAGTAAACAAATGACCTCGTAAGTCTAATACATGACAGCTGGTGGGTCTACTATACATTCACAAATGTGGTTATATTATTTATACAATTATTACAGTATTGCATAACAGTAAATCTTCTACTTTTTGGTTTGAATAAAAATTCATTATGTGAATAAAAAATCAAAATGGAATTCATTTGTAAAGCCTGAAAACGTAACTAATGAACAGAGGAAATGTTAGTTTAGTGCCAGGAATACCTGCATTGTTTATCCTGGACCCTATTTTGAAATTGGAATATTTTGAACTTTGCATTAAATTGGCCAAATTACCAATTTCCGGTCACTTTATTTTGTTGATACAGTTGACTTGGCGATTTCTTGTGCTCAATCAATAGAATAGAAGTAATACTAGTGAAATAGCTAAGAATTTGGTTGACTGGAATACTGTAACTGCTCTAAAATAGTCAGTCAGCAAAATCGCCGATGTGTAAATATCGCTGACACATCAAAATTCGCGAGAGCATAATTTCGTCAATTTTCCATCAAATTTCGTACTTTTTGCTTTATTACGTTCAGAAAAAGATTCTCTACCATTTCATAAGAAAAAATAACAAAATTATTTTTTTAAAATTCTTGGACCCTGGTGCACACTTTGAAATTTGGCCTCTGGACCCTGAAAGGGTTTAAGCAAAATCAGCGAGATTTTATTAATTTTTAAATTTTGTTGCAGGTTGTGCTGGAATTATCAAGAATGAGAACTATTACAAAACACACATGAAATTAGTGTATACTGAATACAAGTAGAAATTTTTTTGATTTTCTTGCCATCTTGCATATTCATGGGACAGAAAGAAGAGCCCAGCAATTCTGGCACAGTGCAAAACATTAACAGGTTTTCAATTCTCACAAAAAGATGGTAATAGACTACTTCCATGGATTGTGGCTGCCTACTAAACCACTGCATGAACATGACTGAAGCTATCAATATACAGGTAAAGTGCATATTATTCAATGTAAAAATTTATAACACAAGACAATCATAATACATTACCTTCACTAGAGAGTCCCTGCTGTGATTTAGCCAAGCTATTATCCAACTGCAGCATTGTTAAATTTTCTTCAAAATCCATAAAACTATTCATGTGTTCTGGATTTATGGTTGTTCTCTCTGAATAACTGCACTCTGGTTCATCCAGTTCCCATTCATATGGGCTCCTTTTGTCCCATTCACTTTTACTCTGCATTTGACTACAAACATTACCATAAAGGTTTATTTCTGAAGACAAAACCAAATTTGCTTTAAAATAGGTTGATTCACTAGACCTAGTTGCATCATCACTACAGCTTGCCTCTAAAGTACTACTACTAACTTTATCTATATCAGTACTGAAAGAATTTTCATAAGTTTTTTTGGTTTCTGGAGATAAATCAGCACTGCTAATTTTTTTCACAACTGATGTTATGAAATTCATAGTCTTAGAATGATCAAAGAACTGTTCATCAGATGATGCCTTTGATAATATGTCTACTTTATTACTCGGATTATTTTTATTTTTTTTAGTGTTAGTAATCCAGTCAGTTACTTTAGGCTGATTTTCTGGGACAGCAAATAACTTTGATTTGTAATTACACTTTTTAGTCTCTGGTTTAATTTTAATGTCTGTTGGCAAATTGTTACTGTCTTGGGAAACATTGTATATAAAATCCTGAGATAATGCTTTATCTGTATGTTTATTAAGCAGCTCCACTGCTTTATGGCACTTTTCAAGGATTGCAAGAGATTTCTTAGAGTTTTCTGACAATAGGTCACTCTTTTGTACATATTCCAGAGATGAAATATCACAACCTGAAATCACATCATTAAACTGAGGTTTAGATTTCTGTAATGTTTTCCTTATTAATGGCTGATCATTATTAAAGTCTATGGAATCAGATTCACTATTCCTGGTAGTACTTTCCTTAATTTTTGCTTCACTTTGGGAAGAAAAGCCTTCCATTTCTTTAATACGGACACTTCTACGACAAACAGATCCAGCTATGTCGGCATGTGATTTTGACTTGCTTGGGTATGTTTCTTCTGTATTTTTCGATAACTTTTCTAAACTCTTTCGTCTATGGTTTTCATCACTACTTTTTTTTTCTTCCTTTAATTTTCTCTTGGCATTAGCACCTTTTATATCCTTTCCTAATTTTGGTGAGGAATTAATGATTCCTAAGGTATCTTTCTTCAGACCAAATTGTAATATCTTTTCCTTGGAATCTATTTTGCTGAGAAGAATTTTCACTTGCAAACTTGGATCTGGCCTTGTTAAATCAGGTAACTCCTCACTCAAGTCAAAATCAAACGATTCTGTAGCATCATCTCCTCCCATGTTATATCCTGCATGTGTTCTATCTTCAAATCCAAAATCTTTTACTTCCATCTTTCCTTCAGTCTGATTTGTTACCTGTGGGCAAAAGAAAACATCACTAGCATTTTTCTTTGACTTTTTCCTTGAAGTACCCAAGACAGGACTGGGTGATCGAGAGGACACACTTTCTATCTTAAGGGCTCTTTTGTGTGCCTTTTCACAATTCTTCTTTGGAGAAACAGATGCCTTAAAAAGTTCAAATTTATTTTTAGCTTTTACAGTGTTTTTTTTTTTTGAGGTTTGTAAGTAGGACCTAGTAATATTTCCAGATTTGGAAAAATCTTCTAAACATTTCTCATTGTATTTATTTTTGTTATTCAAACATTTCTTTACTTCCAATACTTTGGATTTCTTCTTGGGCTTTACCTGTGAAGGTAAGCTGTCATTTAGTACAATATCTGAATATTTTTTAACACCAGTTCTATTAACCTCAACAGAAATGCTATCCAAATCAAATAACTGAGATTTGGCTCTATCATTTTGGGATTGAGACTCATCATCTGTAATCTGATTATCTATGTCAGAATCAAATGCCAGGATTGAGTGGGATACGCTAGATTTACATGAAGAGAAACTTTGTAAAGAGTCCTTCAATCCTTTGGGTAGTATACACTGATCCTTCTGACAAGCTTCCAGGCAATTATCACTAGAAATGTTATTTAAAACTTGCCTCTTGTTAGGATTTTCGTTTTCCACATTAAATTTTATAGCTGCTGTAGATTCTTTCACTTTCTGCTTTCTGTGCTTTATCCTTGACTTAGAGGCCCTGCAAATAAATGTTTGTATCACTTAACAATCAACTAAAACTTTTAGAACAAAAAATTTGGCCCAACAAGAACATCCCAGGGAACTAATGAGGCTTTGTAAAAAGTACTCATTGAACCAAGAGATAACTGATCCCACTAGAAATTAAAATACCTTGGATTTGATATTCACAAGCAATGAGGAACTTATCAGTCATAAGTTACAAAAAAACAACATACTCTGATCACAACATCATAGAAGTTCAAACGAGTATTAACTCAGGGTTAGGAAACTGCATCACTAATGTTAGGATGGGATGTTCGGTGAGTTTAATTTTAACAACCATAGAATTGACTGGGAAAAAATAAACCTAGAGCTCTCAGACATCCTGGGAATCTGACATGAGCACCCTAAATCCTCACCAGTGCCTAGAGAAGCTGAATATAGAAGCATACAAGGTATGTATGAAGCATGTACCAACAAGAAAACCCAGATGATCAGATATAGAGAGAGAGAGCATAGGAGATGGTACAGAAGAAGAAAACAGGTTACTGAATTGCTTAACACAAGTATGCTGCAACAGTGGAAAGACAGTCTTAGCTGAGAGATCACTGAATTAGAGCAAAAACTCTGGATGTCATACCTAACAAAAGTACAAAGGGCCATACAAGATATTGCAAGAAACCCAAAATATTTATTTCTATGCAAAATCCAACTGAAGAACTACCTGTAGAATTGGACCATTATTGAGAGGGGATTCGTATACTGACAATGAACAGGTAATGAGTGAAATCCTAAAAGAACAGTATGAATCAGTGTTCAGCAACCCACTAAATGACAGCAAGGTAGAAAATGCAGAAACATTTTTCACTCCTGCAGAAGGCCACAGAGATCAACTAGCTTTAGTACAACTCCTATAGATTTTGAAAAAGAAATGGATAACATGCCCACTCGCTCAGCACCTGGACAAGATTCATGGAATGCCTTGTTTATAAAGTGCAAAGTACCACTAGCAAGAGCCCTCAGTATTCTAGCTCTAGATGAAATACCAGAGGCTATAAAGAGTGCACACATAGCTCCTTTGCATAAAGGAGGTAGTAGAGCACTAGCTAAAAATTACAAACCAGTAGCCCTAACTTCTCACATCATAAAAATCTTGTAATCTGCCATCTCATCTTTGAGATGGCAGATTACAAATTTCACGGACCAGCACAACCAGCATGGTTTTAGAGCAGGACGATCATGCCTGTCACAGCTGCTGAACCATTATGACAATTACGGAGGTGTTGGAAAACGACCAAAATGCAGATGTGATTTACAGATTTTGCAAAGGCATTTGACAAATGGGATCATTGAGTGATTGCACACAAAATGAGGGCCATGGGCATTATGGGGAAGGTAGGCAGATGGATTTTCGGGTTCCTAACATACAGAACACAAAGTAGTAGTAAACAGAGCAAGATCCAGCATCAGCGAGGTAAAAAGCTCAGTGGCCCAAGGCACTGTCCTGGCACCTCTGCTGTTTCTCATCCTCATAGCAGACATAGATAAAAACACCCATCACACTTTTGTATCATCATTTACAGATGACACCAAAATAAGCATGAAAGTCACTATGGTAGAGGACACTGAAAAATTACAGGAAGACATAAGCAGTGTTTTCCAGTGGAAAGTGGGGAACAATGTGACATTCAATGGTGATTTCCAGCTGCTTAGGTATGGAAAGAATGAAGAACTCAAAAGGAACACTATATACAAAACTCAAGAGGGTCACCAAATAGAACAAATGGAACACGTAAAAGACCTGGGAATAATTATGTCAGCTGACCTTTCTTTTAAAAGAGTATATGGAGAGTAAAATAAAGGTGAAGAGTGGTGAGAGTGCGCAAAAGGAGAGCAGATGATAGTGGGAGAGGCAATGTCAAGAAATTTTGCTGAAAACAAGAAAAAAAAAATTTGGAGCGAGATAAAAAAAGTTAAGAAAACCTAGGAACGAATGGGTTGTCAGTTAAAAACAGTAGGCGAGTTAGTAGATAGCGAGCTGGAGGTATTGGGTAGATGGCAGGAATATTTTGAGGAACTTTTAGATGTCGATGAACAAAGGGAGGCGGTAATTTCATGCACTGGCCAGGGAGGTATAACATCTTTTAGGAGTGAAGAGCAGGATGTGAGTGTAGGGGAGGTGCATGAGGCATTACGCAGAATGAAAGGGGGTGAAGTAGATGGAACTGACGGGATCGTGACAGAAATGTTAAAAGCAGGGGGGTATATAGTGTTGGAGTGGTTGGTATTTTTGTTTACTAAATGCATGAAAGAGCGGAAGGTACCTAGGGATTGGCAGAGAGTATGTAAAGTTTAAATTTGCTCAATATATATAGTATGCACTCGTACTACTGTGTGTGTGTGTGTGTGTGTGTGTGTGTGTGTGTGTGTGTGTGTGTGTGCGCGCGTGTGCGTGCGCGCACGTGTGCGTTCATGCGTATGTACTCGCCTAATTGTGGTTGCAGGGGTTGATTTGTAGCTCCTAGCCCCAACTCTTCACTGGTCACTCCCTGCTCTGTGAGCTTTATCATACCTCCTCTCAAAGCAATTTATGGATCCTGCCTACACCTTCCTTTCCAGACTATTCCACTTCCTGACAACTCTGTGACTGAAGAAATACTCCCTAACATCCCTGTGACTCGTCTGAGTCTTCAACTTCCAATTGTGACCCTTTACTGGTGTGTCTCAGCTCTCAAACATCCTGTCCCTGTCCACTTTGTCAATTCCTCAGTATTTTATGTTATGCCCTCCCCATCCCCATTCCTCCTGTCCTCCAGTGTCATCAGGTCTATTTTTCTTAACGTCTCCTCGCAGGACATGCCCCTTAACTCCAGGACTAGTCTCATTGCAAACCTTTGCACTTTCTCTAATTTCTTGACATGCTTGGCCAGATGGGGGTTCCAAACTAGTGCTGCATACTCCAATATGGGTCTCATGTACACTGTACAGAGTCTTGAATGACTCCTTACTAAGATGTTGGAATGTTATTCTTAAATTTTCTAGCCGTCCATATGCTGCAGCAGTTATTTGGGTAATGTGCACCTCAGGAGATGTGTTCGGTGTTATACTCGCCCAAAGAACCTTTTCCTTGAGTTAGGTTTGTAGTCTCTGGCCTCCTCAACTGTATTGTCTGCAGTCTTTGCCCTTCCCCAATCTTCATGACTGCACTTGGCAGGGTTGAACTCCAGGAGCTATTTGCTGAACAAGGCCTGTAGCCTGTCCAAATCTCTCTGTAGTCCTGCCTGGTCCTCCTCTGATTGAATTCTCATTAAACTGACGCACTTCTGAGTCTATTCCTTCCATCACATTCTCATATACCAGAAACAACACTGGCCCTTGGACTGACCCCTGTGAAACCCCACTCATCACAGGCGACCACTCCGACACCTTGTTGAGTACCATGACTTGCTGCTACCTTCCTGTCAGGTGTTCTCTGATCACTGCAGTGCCTTCCCTGTTACACATGCCTGGTCCTCCAGCTTTTGCACTAATCTCTTGCGTGGAACTGCATCAAAAGCCGTCTTACAGTCCAAGAAAATGTGTGTACACTCGTGTATTTGTGGTTGCAGGGGTCAATTCATAACTCCTGGCCCTGCCTCTTCATTGATCACTATTAGGTCACTCTCTCCCTGCTCCATGAGCTTTATCAAACCTAGTCTTAAAATAGTAAGTATGGATCCTGCCTCCACTACGTCACTTCCCAGACTATTCCAGTTCCTGACAACTCTGATTGAAGTAATACTTTCTAACATCCCTATGACTCGTGTGAGTCTTCAACTTCCAATTGTGACCCATTGTTTCTGTGTTCCATCTCTGGAACATCCTGTCTTTGTCCACCTTGTCAATTCCTCGCAGTATTTTGTTATCACATCTCGCCTAACCCTCCTATCCTCCAATGCTGTCAGGCTGATTTCTCTTAAACTTTCTTTGTAAGATATTCCCCCTAGCTCTGGGACTAGTCTTGCACTTTCTCTAATTTCCTGACGTGCTTGACCAGGTGTAGGTTTCAAATTGGTGCTGCATATTCCAATATGGGCCTGACACATGGCGTAGAGTCTTGAACGATTCCTCACTGAAGTATCGGAACGCCATTCTTAGGTTTGCCAGGCACTCATATGCTGCAGCAGTTATCTGGTTGATGTGCGCCTCAGGAGATGTGCTTGTATTATATTCACCCCAAGATTCTTTTCCTAGAGTGAGGTTCGCAGTCTTTGGCAACCTAGCCTATACTTGTCTGTGGTCTCCTTTACCCTTCCCTCATCTTCATGACTTTGCATTTGATGGGATTAAATTTGAGGAGCCAGTTGCTGGACCAGGCTTCCAGTGTGTCCAGGTCTCTTTGTAGTCCTACCTGATCCTCACCCAATTTAATTCTCCTCATTAACTTCACATCATCTGCAAACAGAGACACTTCTGAGCCTATCCTTTCCGTCATGTTATTCACATACACCAAAAACAGCACTGGTCCTAGGACTGACCCCTGGGAACACACCTTGTCACAGGCCCGTACTCTGACACCTCGTCACATACCATGACTCACTGTTGCCTCCCTGTCAGGTATTCTCTGATCCATTACAATACCTTTCTTGTGTGGCCTGATCCTCTAGCATGCATGTGTGTACATATGCGTGGTTTCAGGGGGTCAAGTCACAGCTCCTGGCTCCCACCTCTTTGCTAGCTGCTACTAGGTCACTCTCCCTGCTCTAAGAGCCTTATCATATCTCCTCTTAAAGCAATGTACGGATCCTGCCTTCACTACACCTCCAGATTGTTCCACTCCCTGACAACTCTATGGCTGAAGAAAAACTTCCTAACATCCCTGTGACTCATCAGTTGTGACTTCCTTGTCGCTGTATCCCATCCATGAAACATTCTGTCCCTATCCACCTTGTCAATTCCTCTAGGTATTTTATGTCATTATCATGTTCCTCCCTCTCTCTCCCATCCTCCAGTGTCATCAGGTTCATTTCCCTTAACCACTCTTTGTAGGACATGCCCCTTAGCTCCAGGACTAGTCTTGTTGCAAACCTTTGCAAATGTTTTAACTTCCTGATGTGCTTAACCAGATATGGGTTCCATACTGGTGCTGCATACTCCATATGAGCCTGATGTACAAAGTGTAAACAAGTCTTGAGCAATTCTTTGCTAAGGTGTCAAAATGCTATTCTTAGGTTTGCCAGGTGCCCACATGTTGCAGCAGTTATTTGGTTGATCTGCACCTCAGGAGATGTGCTTGGTATTGTACTCTTTCCACAATCCTTTTCCTTGAGTAATGTTTGCAGTCTTTGGCCCCCTAGCCCAGGGGTGGGCAAACTGTGGCCTGCCACAGGTTTTCATGCGGCCCGTCATGATTAAGTCATATACTCGTGTATATGCAGCTGAATGAGCAAAACTTTGTTCATTTTCCTCTGAAAACACGAGCTGTTACACAAGCATTACCAGACGAGTACAGTTCCGTTGATGGCCTTAGAAGTTTGCCCACCCCCTGCCCTAGCCTGTACTCTGCCTGCAGTCTTCCTTGACCTTCCCCAATCTTCATGACTTTGCACTTGGAGTTAAACTCAGGAACCATTTGTTGGACCAGGCTTGCAGCCCCTCCACATCCCCTTGTAATTCAACCCAATCCTCATCCACTTGAATTCTCCGCATTAGCTTCACGTCGCCTGCAAACAGGGACACCTGGACTGACTCTTGAAGAACCCCACTCGTCACAGATGCCCAACCTGATGCCTCGTCACATACCATCACTCGTTCTTTCCTTCATGTCGGGTATTCTCCAATCCACTGCAGTGCCTCCTCCCCCCTCTCTCTAATATATTCTTTCTTTTTTTTTCAACAAACCAGCCGTATCCCAACAAAGCAGGGTGGCCTAAAAAGAAAAACAAAAGTTTTTTAAATTTAGTAATTTGTACAGGAGAAGGGGTTACTAGACCCTTGCTCCCAGCATTTTAGTCACCTCTTAAGACATGCATGGCTTATGGAGGAAGAATTCTTTTCTACTTACCCATGGAGATAAGAGGAAATAAAGAACAAGAACTGTAAACATAACAGATGGGTGTGTAAATATATACGCAAGTACCTATGTGTAATGTGACCTAAGTGTAAGTAGAAGTAACAAGATGTATCCTGTGTGTTTGAGAAAGTAAGACACCAGCAATCCTACCAACAAGTAAAACAATTACAGGTTTCCATTTCACTTGCCTGGCAGGATGGTAGTACCTCCCTGGTGGTTGCTGTCTACCAACCTACTACCTACATAGATATATATGATACATATAAAATATATACAAGATATATAAGAAAAGCAGAGTATATGTTGTGTAAAAGAAAGGTGAAGAGAGTGGTGAGAGTGCAAAAGGAGAGCAAATGACAGAGTGGGAGAGGCACTGTCAAGAAATTTTGCTGAGAATAAGGAAAAAAAATTGGAGATAAAAAATTTAAGAAAGCCTAGGGAATGAATGGATTTGTCTGTTAAAAAACAGTAGGGGAGTTAGTAGATGGGGAGCTGGAGGTATTGAGTAGATGGCAGGAATATTTTGAGGAACTTTTAAATGTTGATGAAAGGGAGGCAGTAATTTCATGCACTGGCCAGGGAGGTATAACATCTTTTAGGAGTGAAGAAGGGCAGGATGTGAGTGTGGGGAAGGTGCATGAGGCAGTACACAGAATGAAAGAGGGTAAAACAGCTAGAACTGATTGGATCATGACAGAAATGTTAAAAGCTGGGAGAGATAGTGCTGGAGTGGTTGGTATTTTTATTTAATAAATTTATCCGAGGGAAAGGTACCTAGGGATTGGCGGAGAGCATGTATAGTCCCTTTATATAAAGGGAAGGGGGACAAAAGAGACCGTAAAAATTATAGGGGAATAAGTTTACCGAGTATACCAGGTAAAGTGTATGGTAGGGTTATTATTGAAAATTTGGGGTAAGAGACAGCAGGATTGCACATGAGCAATACTGCTCATCTGCAACCAGGTGTTTACATTGAAGCATATATATAAACAGTATTTAGATAAAGGTAGGGAAGTTTTCATTGCATTTATGAATTTAGAAAAAGCACAAGTGGATAGGGGAGCAATATGGCAGGTGTTGCAAGTGTATGGAATTGGTAGTAAGTTACTAAATGCTGTGAAGAGTTTTTATGAGGATAGTGAGGCTCGGGTTAGGGTGTGTAGGAGACAGAGAAATTACTTCCCGGTTAAAGTGGGTCATAGATAGGGATGTGTAATGTCACCATGGTTGTTTAACATATTTATAGACAGGAATATAAAAGAAGTAAATGCTAGTGTGTTGGGGAGAGGGGTGGGATTAAATTATGGGGAATCAAATACAAAATGGGAGTTGACAGTTACTTTTTGCTGATGATACTGTGCTTTTGGGGACTTGTAAAGTTGCAAAGGTTAGTGGACAAGTTTGGGAAGGTGTGTAAAGGTAGAAAGTTGAAAGTGAATATAGATAAGAGTAAGGTGATGAGGGTATCAAACGATGTAGATAAAGAAAGATTGGGTCACATTGGAAGGAGGGAGTATAGAAGTAGTGAATGTTTTCAGATATTTGGGAGTTGACTTGTCAGCAGATGGGTTTATGAAGGATGAGGTAAACCATAGAATTGATGAAGGAAAAAAGGCGAGTGGTGTGTCGAGGTATGGAAACAAAGAACGTTATCCATGGAGACAAGGGAATGTACGAGAGTATAGTGGTACCAACATTCTTATATGGGTGTGAAGCATGGGTTGTAAATGCTGCAGTGACGAGGCAGCTGGAGGCAGTGGAGATGTCCTGTCTAATGGCAATGTGTGGTGTAAATATTATGCAGAGAATTCGTAGTGTGGAAATTAGGTGGTGTGGAGTTACTAAAAGTATTAGTCAGAGGGGTGAATAGGGGCTGTTGAGGTGGTTTGATCATTTAGAGAAGATGGAGCAAAATAGGACAACTTTGAAGGTATATAAATATGTAGTGGTGAGGAGGAGTAGGAGTCATCCTAGAAAAGGATGGAGGGAGGGGGTAAAAGAGGTTTTGTGTGCAAGGAGCTTGGACATACAGCAAGTATGTGTTACATAGGAGTGAATGGAAATGAATGGTTTTTGGGAACTGACAAGCTGTTGGAGTGTGAGCAGGGTAACAATTTGTGAAAGGATTCAGAGAAAATGGTTAGCCAGACTTGAGTCCTGGAGGTGGAAAGTACAATGCCTGCACTTTCAAGGAGGGGTTTGGGACATTGGCAATTTGGAAGGACCTCTAATTGAACGTACCACTAATTCTTACGTAGTGTGCGAGTCTTAAGATTTGTTCCTCGAAATGCACTGCATAATTAGCGACTTCTTTTTTCTTTTGTGCCTATTTTACTCTTGTATCTTCATTACTGGTAGCTCAAAGAAATAAAGCATTATCCATATCATTTATTGAAAATACGTAATTTGTTTGGTAGTGGGTCCTCTAAATTTTTGCTGAACATTAAAGTGAAAAATTCAGCTATGGTGCACTGCCCTCTACTTTGTGTGTAGTTTCATTAAATTTTGGACAAATTTTCTTGATTGTTACCAGATCAACATCATTTCTTTGTATGTGATTGCTAAGTGAACATGTAGTCAGGTCATATTTTTTAAGTAAAAATTCAATGTGTAATTTGAATGCGTCTCAGAGCATATTCCTTTGTTTTTCCATTATTTGTTGCAAACTGGAGGTATAACACTGACATATGGTGATAAAGACACTACTGAAATTATAGTGTAGTTGTTTATTGATGCAATAAAGAACACCCAAGTGTGGGCTTTTCCAAGTACAAAACAGATTGAATGATAGTGAATGCTACCCTTTTTGAATCACCCTACCTTGGCAGGAGATGGCTGGGGTACTTTTTATGGGTTTCAAGCTCTCCTATTCTGCAGCACTGTCCTAAGCCGGAATTGGCCAGTGCTTGCCTGGTCAACCAGGCTGTTGCTGCTGGCGGCCTACTTGCACACACATCCATCACAGCCTAGTTGATTCAGCACTTGACGGATCACATATTAGATACAAAGCTTTAGTAGTGCAAAGGTCAGACGCAGAGGTTTGGTGCATCAGGGTTTAAGTTATATTGGATTTACTTTGTGATTTTGCTTTATGCACAATGGACTGGGAATGCATGTCTCATAAAGCAAGGGACACCTATATACACAATCCGGTATAAAAATTAAAATATTTTCATACTCACATTTTCTTTAATTTTTCATGTTCATTATTTCCAAAATTCCCATTTGATGAGGATTCTGCAGACAGCTTTTGGCTGCTCTCAAAATAATCTGATATTTTATTAGGAAACACTATTGAGCTGTCCAGTGCCTTTAGCAGCAATCGTTCATGCTGTACAGGACTTGACATGGATCTTGTATGAACTAACTCTCTTCTAATTTTTTGTTGCCGTGTTACATTGGCTGCGGTGTCCTCTTGCAGCCCATCCTCGCCTGAATTCAGTAGTGTAACACTCACTACTAGCATCTCGCCACATGGCACAAAACTGTCATACCGACCCCCTGAAAATAATCGCAAAGAATTATGAAAATTGGTCGTATACAATTTTTTTAAGTTTTAATAGCAGTAATGCATGTACGTACATGTGTATGAATTGGCTGTGTGCACACTCGCCTACCTGAATACACACACAGTACATGCATATATACATGAGAATGTGTGTGTGACTGAGAGAGAGCAATATTGAGACTGAGTGATTAACTGATTGTGGGACATCTGCTTATCCAGGATAGCTAGATTATTTGAAATGTGATTTCTGTGAACTTAAAAAAAAAAAAAAAAAGTGTTAAATATGGTTAATGTGATTTCCCCTATATGAATTGCCTTGGTGGGAAACAACCAGCAGTTAACATATCAGCTCAGTGCACCTTGTATGAAATTTGAAAATCTCCAAAATCCAAAACTTTTTTGAGCACTGACATGACACCACAAACTGAAAATTCTAGCTGGCTCTGGGAGGTTCTCAGGAGCTGCACAGGTCTCTGTATACCCAAACAGTTGCAACACGTAACTTCACATACCCTGGATGGGGCCCTGTTGGCACCAGTCTGTTATCAACAGTCATCACTACCTGACCTACATGCAGTACTCGCTGTGATTACCGTGTGTTTTGTGCTTGTTCTCTACTTGATGGTGCAGATATTGTTGAAAATGTCAAAGGCCCACAGATATCCCTATGGGTAACAGTGATAAGAAAAAAACAGTGTACAGTAGCCTTTTGTGATGAATGGTTTGAAAAACTGACAACTGTCAGACACTGCAGCATCATGGGATCTTGTTACAAAGAATTCTTCAACACTTGTCCAACCTTTGGAAGAAGACCTACTTCGACTAGTGGACACCACTATGACACCACCTCCTCCTGCTTCGTCTCGCCTCACTACAGTATATAAGCCACGTCTACGGCCCTATGCTGTGCATTCTACAAGATTGATGGACTGAACACATCGACTCCAGGCTGAGGGACTGATTACCTCAAACTCCTCCTCTCCTTATGCCTTTCTACTTTGAATTGGACTGATGAAGCCACTGTGTGGCGAAACGTTTCCAGAATAAAGATTCCCATGTGTTGCATAAGTGTCTCAATCTTCAACAGTAGCCATTTAATCGAAACATGGAGGCAAAGAAGGGAATGTATGAAAGTGTATAGTGGTACCAACACTTATATGGGTGTGAAGCGTGGGTTGTAAATGCTGCAGCGAGGAGGCAGTTGGAGGCAGTGGAGATGTCCTGTTTAAGGGCAATGTGTGGTGTAAATATTATGCAGAAAATTCGGAGTGTGGAAATTAGAGGGTGTGGAGTTAAAAGTATTAGTCAGAGGGCTGAAGAGGGGTTGTTGAGGTGGTTTGGTCATTTAGAGAGAATGGATCAAAGTAAAATGACATGGAGAGCGTATAAATCTGTAGGGGAAGGAAGGCGGGGTAGGGGTCGTCCTCGAAAGGGTTGGAGGAAGGGGGTAAAGGAGGCTTTGTGGGCGAGGGGGCTTGGACTTCCAGCAAGCGTGCGTGAGCGTGTTAGGAGTGAATGGAGACGAATGGTATTTGGGACCTGACGAGCTGTTGGAGTGTGAGCAGGGTAATATTTAGTGAAGGGATTCAGGGAAATGGGTTATTTTATATAGCCAGACTTGAGTCCCGGAAATGTTAAGTACAATGCCTGCACTTTAAAGGAGGGGTTTCGGATATTGGCAGTTTGGAGGGATATGATGTGTATCTTTATACGTATATACTTCTAAACTGTTGTATTCTGAGCACCTCTGCAAAAAGTGATTGTGTGAGTGAGGTGAAAGTGTTGAATGATGATGAGAGTTTTCTTTTTTGGGGATTTTTTTTCTTTTTGGGTCACCCTGCCTCGGTGGGAGACAGCCGACTTGTTAAAAGAAAAAAAAATATATATATAAAAAATATATATATAATCACACAGTGGGAGTTGTCACAGTTGCTCTTTGCTGATGACACTGTGCTCTTGGGAGATTCTGAAGAAAGTTGCAGAGGTTGGTGGATGAATTTGGTAGGGTATGTAAAAGAAGAAAATTAAAAGTGAATACAGGAAAGAGTAAAGGTTATGAGGATAAAAAGATCAGGTGATGAAAGATTGGATATCAGATTGGAGGGAGAGAGTATGGAGGAGGTGAATGTATTCAGATATTTGGGAGCGGATGTGTCAGTGGATGGGTCTATGGAAGATGAGGTGAATCATAGAATTGATGAGGGGAAAAGGGTGAGCGGTGCACTTAGGAGTCTGTGGAGACAAAGAACTTTGTCCTTTGAGGCAAAGAGGGGAATGTATGAGAGCATAGTTTTACCAACGCTCTTATATGGGTGTGAAGCATGGGTGATGAATGTTGCAGCGAGGAGAAGACTGGAGGCAGTGGAGATGCCATGTCTGAGGGCAATGTGTAGTGTGAATATAATGCAGAGAATTCGTAGTTTGGAAGTTAGGAGGAGGTGCAGGATTGTCAAAACTGTTGTCCAGAGGGTTGAGGAAGGGTTGTTGAGGTGGTTCGGACATGTAGAGAGAATGGAGCAAAACAGAGTGACTTCAAGAGTGTATCAGTCTGTAGTGGAAGGAAGGCGGGGTAGGGGTCGGCCTAGGAAAGGTTGGAGGGAGGGGCTAAAGGAGGTTTTGTGTGCGAGGGGCTTGGACTTCCAGCAGGCATGCGTGAGCGTGTTTGATAGGAGTGAATGGAGACAAATGGTTTTTAATACTTGACGTGCTGTTGGAGTGTGAGCAAAGTAACATTTATGAAGGGATTCAGGGAAACCGGCAGGCCGGACTTGAGTCCTGGAGATGGGAAGTACAGTGCCTGCACTCTGAAGGAGGGGTGTTAATGTTGCAGTTTAAAAACTGTAGTGTAAAGCACCCTTCTGGCAAGACAGTGATGGAGTGAATGATGGTGAAAGTTTTTCTTTTTCGGGCCACCCTGTCTTGGTGGGAATCGGCCAGTGTGTTAATAATAAAAAAATATATACAGGTCTCCCTCAACATTCACGAGGGTTAGGGGATCAAGAGCCTCGCGAATGTTGAAAAACCGTGAATGTTTGGTGCCCCAATATATTGTAGGGAAATATATTACAATACTGCTTCCTTAACTTGTTGAACCACGAATAATCATAAAATACATGAAAACGTCGTAAATTGTACTAAATATATACATGTTATGCTTTAATAACGTATGTTATTTAATAACATGTATGTTATTAAACCACAGACTCCACCACTGCGAGTCCCTACTACCCTCCCTCCGACCCCCGCAACTGGCAGCCAGCCCTCCCACCACTCAGTGTGGTGAGTGTTTTGTTTGTTCATTATTTGCTATTAAACTACAGAATAAATAATGTAAACCCATTCATGACTGCATATTGGAATGGCTATTAGGAAAGGTATTTGACGGTGACATCATGTGTTGACTCTTGAACACAGCAAAGAATCGAACATTTCTGCTATTGCTAATAATAACAACAGTAGTAATAATAATAATAATAATAATAATAAATACGATATAATTGAAGGAGGAAATTGTACAAAAATACAAGGGAGTGGTTGACACATCGTCAGTGTGACTTTGTTTATGCTGGAGTGAACATTAGTCTCCCTGCTCTTCCAAACATTTCACAATAATTCAGCGGTTGAGGCAGTGGTATTTAATAACATATATGTTATAAATAATAATAGTACATGTTTTTTTGTTTTTGTTTTTTTCAACAAGTTGGTCGTCTCCCACCGAGGCAGGGTGACCCAAAAAAGAAAGAAAATCCCCAAAAAGAAAATACTTTCATCATTCAACACTTTCACCACACTCACACATTATCACTGCTTTTGCAGAGGTGCTCAGAATACAACAGTTTAGAAGCATATATGTATAAAGATACACAACATATCCCTCCAAACTGCCAATATCCCAAACCCCTCCTTTAAAGTGCAGGCATTGTACTTCCATTTCCAGGACTCAAGTCCGACTACAAGAAATAACCGGTTTCCCTGAATCCCTTCACTAAAATATTACCCTGCTCACACTCCAACAGATCGTCAGGTCCAAGTATCATTCGTCTCCATTAACTCCTATCTAACACGCTCATGCATGCTTGCTGGAAGTCCAAGCCCTTCGCCCACAAAACCTCCTTTACCCCTCTTTCCAACCCTTTCGAGGACGACCCCTACCCCTCTTTCCTTCCCCTATAGATTTATATGCTTTCCATGTCATTCTACTTTGATCCATTCTCTCCCAAATGACCAAACCACCTCAACAACCCCTCTTCTGCCCTCTGACTAATGCTTTTATTAACTCCACACCTTCTCCTAATTTCCACACTCGGAATTTTCTGCATAATATTTACACCACACATTGCCCTTAGACAGGACATCTCCACTGCCTCCAACTGTCTCCTCGCTGCTGCATTTACCACCCAAGCTTCACATCCATATAGAGTGTTGGTACTACTATACTTTCATACATTCCTTCTTTGCCTCCATAGATAACGTTTTTTGACTCCACATATACCTCAACGCACCACTCACCTTTTTTTCACCTCATCAATTCTATGATTAACCTCATCCTTCATAAATCCAATCGCCGACACGTCAACTCCCAAGTATCTGAAAACATTCACTTCTTCCATACTCCTCCTCCCCAATTTGATATCCAATTTTTCTTTATCTAAATCATTTGATACCCTCATCACCTTACTCTTTTCTATGTTCACTTTCAACTTTCTACCTTTACACACATTCTCAAACTCATCACTAACCTTTGCAATTTTTCTTTGGAATCTCCCATAAGCACAGTATCATCAGCAAAAGTAACTGTGTCAATTCCCATTTTGAATTTGATTCCCCATAATTTAATCCCACCCCTTCTCCGAACACCCTAGCATTTACTTCTTTTACAACCCCATCTATAAATATATTAAACAACCATGGTGACATTACACATCCCTGTCAAAGACCTACTTTTACCGGGAAGTATTCTCCCTCTCTTCTACACACCCTAACCCGAGCCTCA